TATACAGTGTATATATGCTTATATATATATATATATATATATATATATATATATATATATATATATATATATATATATATATATATATATATATATATATATATACATATATATATATATATATATATATATAATATATACATATACACACACACACACACACACACACACACACACACACACACACACACACACACACACACTCACACACACACACGCACACACACACACACACACACACACACACACACACACACACACACACACACACACACACACACACACACACACATATATATATATATGTGTGTGCGTGTGTATGTAGGTATGCATGTGTATGTATGTATTCATAAACACATAAAATGTGTATTTGATTGTATATCTATTAACTATGTATATATATATATATATATATATATATATATATATATATATATATATATATATATATATATATATATATACATACACACACACACACACACACACACACACACACACACATATATATATATATATATATATGTATGTATATATATTATATATATATATATATATATATATATATATTATATATATATATATATATATATATATATATATATTATGCATACCTTATTAAAAAGTCTAAAAAATAGTTTGTACGCCGAATATGAAATGTGAAAGCTTACCACTGAGAGGCATACCATACCATAGGCAACAGAAACTGCCTGCCTAACATCCGTTGGACACTACAATTATTTTCCATTGCAAATAACGTATGGTTAGTCTGTTTAACATAGATATTTTAAAAACATCCATGGCTTAAGTGATAGGATTGGTTAGGTTCGTTAAGTTTAGATTAGGCTGGTTTAGTCCGCGTGTTTGAATTCGTGACTTTTGCCGTTGTAGGAGAGACATATCTTAGAACGTATAATAAAAAAAATGGGAAAAGGGGAAGAAGTGATGCAAACTTCGTCAAGTTACTACGGTCCTAGCATGTATTTTTATCACTCTTATGCATTGTGCATTTGCTTTTCCTTCCCATGCAATTCGTTTTGATGTTTTAACGAATATATTCAATTCTGAACATGAAAACTCCCAGCTATTAGAATAAAAGTACTTGAATCAAGGTTTTCATAATGTCAAAAGTGATGCCTTTGATAACAGGTTTAATTCCCTTAAATCCCTTAGAGCAGATAATTTTTTTTCCGATTCACTTATTAACATGATCAATTCTAATTGTGCTTATGTTTTACCTGATTCTATCCGTCAATGTATGCTTATTTCTCTGTCATCAGGCATAATATTTGCACTTCATCATATTAGGGAGTTTACTTTGCAATGTTTACACCCAAATGATATTGTTATGATAGTTTTTTTTTTTTTTTTTTTTTTTTTTTTTTTTTTTTTTTTTAATGAGACTTGCACAAGAAATCCACCACCTCTTCACACTCCCCATTCTAGAAACTTCGGGAACGTCGCCCTCTAGGTTCGTGATAGATCTTCCTCACGTGGAAGAGCTGATCTATCTTTTCTAGATGTTATCGAGTCGATTTTTCCTGAACAAATCATTAACAACTTATTGCCTAGTCAGTTATACAAGCAACCCAACGGTATTTTTTTTCCCAATTTTTGGAAAAAAAAGTTTCATTTCATAATGGACTTGTCTTCAAAGAAATTAGAACGTGTCTCATTACTGGGGATCTTGGCCTAGATCTCAAGGATGATTTTGATAACAAAGTTGGGGAAATCGTGTCTATATACTTCATGAATCTTTTTCTCCGTAATCACCAAGGTTATCATCTAGAACACAAGGAAACTCTGCCTTCCTAAGTGGTCATATCTGGACACAATATTTTTGAGTGATTGTAGCTTCTCTAAAGGCATAACGACACATGGGGTTCCACAAGGCTCTATCTGGGGACCCTTTCTGTTCCTACTATATATTAATGATAAAGTCAATGCGAACTTTCTGAACTGCACAATGTTGGCCGATGATATATGCTGTTACACGTCCGGAGACTATTCTAGAATCAACACCACAAATACTACAATGACAAACACGACTATGAATGATTTTGAATAAGCTTACTATGAATGTTAAAAAGAAACAGTGTATTATTTTCCACAGGGACAAAGACATTCCTCTTGTTCTCCTTAATATTACCATCGTAGTTGTACCAATTAAACGGGCACGGTTAATTGGAACAACTACATATATGTATATTATGCATGAATACCAAGTTCCTTAGCATTCATATCGACTTTCAGTTAAAATGGAAAACACATAAAAAATGCATTATCTAAACTGATTTATTTTCTCGATATGTTTTGTGATTTATTTTTTTTTATTTATTTTTTTTTTGCTTCATTTAGTTCATTTACTCGAATATTTACAGAATCTTTCTGCGTCCTTGTATTTCAACCTGTACTGTATTATATAGATAATGTATGTTTGTAATTTTGATCTCTCTTTTGTTGACATATATATTTCTACAAATGCGTTGATATTATGTAG